TTATTTCTGGTTTCCTTTGCTGTGCAGAAGCTTGTAAGTTTCATTAGGTCCCATTTGTTTATTCTTGCTTTTATTTCTTCTAGGAGAAAATTTTTGAACTGTATGTCAGCTAATGTTTTGCCTATGTTTTCCTCTAGGAGGTTTATTGTATCTTGTCTTATGTTTAAGTCTTTAATCCATTTTGAGTTGATATTTGTATACGGTGTAAGGGTGTGTTCTAGCTTCATTGTTTTACATGCTGCTGTCCAGTTTTCCCAACACCATTTGCTGAAGAGACTGTCTTTATTCCATTGTATATTCTTGCCTCCTTTGTCGAAGATGAGTTGACCAAAGGTTTGTGGGTTCATTTCTGGGCTCTCTGTTCTGTTCCATTGGTCCATATGTCTGTTTTGGTACCAATACCATGCTGTCTTGATGACTGTAGCTCTATACGATAAAACCTCTTGAGCAGAAACAGAGACAAGGGCAGAGGGGACTGGGGCTGAACCAGAGGGGCCTGGGTGGGGGGAGAGGAGGAGTCCGCTCCCTTTTCAGCATTTCCCTATGCTTACCCCGGGCGTCTCCACTCAGAAGAACATGGACTACTTTAGAGAAACAACAGCAGTTAAATCTGATGGAGGAACTCTTCTAGTAGCTTCCAGAACCTGAGGACAGGGCCTGATAAGACCCTTGAGTGGACTCAGGAGATCCCAGGATGCCAGGAAGCTACAAGCCCTCGATTAATGAGATGTCCCCGCCAATGGTCGCAGCTCCTGGAAGGCACAGTCAGGTTGTTTTGCAAGGACAGTCCTTTGACTAGGACAGACGGCCCTGCACAATCACACTGGAGTCGGGCAGATAGATTCCATAATGTTCGGAGCAGAACTCCTTTTCATGGACCCAGAGTTCAAGAGACACAAAGCAGACGCCTGTCTTGAGGTTGGAGAACACATGGCTGACCTGATAGAAGACAGTCTTTCTCCCCTGCTGGATGGGGAAAGGCACAGAAGAGAAATGACCCAGGACAACCTGGTTGGCATCTAGAAGTTGGATAGTTAGCTGATATATAGTGTTAATGTCTTGCTGGTCTGTCCACCAGTCAGAGAAACAAACCTCAATCTTGACACTGTCCAGAAGTTCCGGCCGGAAACCCTCCTCCTCCAGGTCCAACACTCGCTGCTGCTTGTGATACCACCTGTAGGGAGACCAGAAGCAGATCTGCAAAGGAGTCCTAGGCATAACCTCCCAGTTTTCCTCCACAGCCAGTTCGTCCAAATCCGGCACCACCATTAATTGCTGGAGGCTTTCTTCTCTCCCAGGTTTGCACAGCAGGTTGCGTCTTACCGGTCTGCGCGCGCAGAAGCGGCTGAGGAGACAGACTGGCGTGGTCCGCGCGGGACAGGCAGCTGCGGGACCGGCCACAGGGCGTAGTGGTCCCGGGCCAGCATCTTCAGCCACTGGGCCGGGGCGTCCACCAGGGGGCGCCAGCGCCCGAGCAGCGTGCGCGGCGGCACGTGGCTCAGCACCGCCAGGAGCAGCTCTGGTGGCAGTTGGCTCGGATCCCCCATGTCCTCAGATCCCGTCTCCAGCTGGGGGAACCCCGGCGGGCCGGACCCTGCAGGCCGAGGCGTCCATGGTCTCCTCCCCAGGCCCGACTCTGCCTGCCTGCATCTCCGCCAGTGCTCCTTGCCAGTGTGCCCTCACTTTGACTCTGGCCATTTTTTCCTAATCAACCTACATCACATAGCTGGCCCCTTCCAACCACTCTTCATCCTTCCCATCCTGCTATACTTTCTCCGCTAGCATTTAACATATTATATACATATATATTTTTCTTTTTCACTCCCACTAGAATTCAAGGTAAGGAAGGCAAGCGATCTGCTTATTCTGTTCACCTCTTAGTCCCCAGTGCTGAGAAGATGCCTTGCACATCTTTTAGGTGTTTATTTATTAAAGGAATAAATTAGTTTATTAATATTTTGTTCCAAATGAAGAAAAGCAAAGGACTGAGAATCAGAATAACATTGTATGAAAAACTGCATGCAGCTCATCCAACTCTCACAACTACCCTATGAGGGGAGCACTATTACTATCATTTTACAGATGAGGACACTGGGCAGAGACCACCCAGATGGCGGGAAGATAAAGAACATAGCCAGGAGTCACACCAGTATTTTGAAAAATTGGAAACACTTTTTTTAACTTATGCAAAAGTTTTTTAAACTATGGCAAATTGGGAAAAAAAAGGAACAAAAGTAGATAGTTAGGATAAGGAAGCCAAATATCCATCATCTAACTCCAACATTTGTCAACTCCTGGCTAGTTTCTTTTCACCTATACTCCTTTCCCCAACTGGATTATTTTGAAAAAAATCCAAACAATCATTTTATTCGTATTTTAGTGTTTATCCCTAGAGATAAATATTAAGCCACATTCTGGTTGGATATTTGGTACTATCCATTTTGGTGCTTGTTGGCCAGTTACTTGCTTTTTCTGAAATAAAATTTACTCATCTGCAAAATGGATATACTAATTTTTCTCAGATCATTTTGAGTATTGAACGAGACAATATATTCAAAACATGTTGTTAAACTACAAAGAACTATATAAAGGTTTGGTTTTCAACTCATGTGTTATTATCCAAATTGTACTGTGGACATAGGTAAAGGCTCTACATCAAAGCCTAGTTTGGTTGGGTACATAAAAACATGACCTGCTTTCCCTCAGCAACATGGCTTCCCTAGGAACATCATGCCTCGTAAATGGGCTAGAGTTCTTACAGAGTCAGCACTCGCGGGGAACGTGTAAGCCCTCATGCGGGATCAGGCCACCCAAGATGGCCGTTCTCTCGCCTCTTGCTCTCTGTACGTGCTTGACCAGTTCCTGCCTCACCTACATGCTCCCTTCTCTCACGAGTGACCCTCCCTCTTAATCGTAGCACCTAATCAGTAAATGCCTACATACTTTCTCCTGGCCCCAGCTAGTGATTATTCTAACCTTTAGATCAGAATGTCTCCACCATGATAGCTTACCCAAGGGGCAGTGAGGAGTGTGATCCTCTCGGGTTTCACCCGGGAACTGATGAGGCACACGAGCCAACCTGATATCAGGCAATCAACTCCCCCTGTAACTATCCCGCAACCCACCCCCAGCAAAGACTACTGCCATGTCCTGCCAGCCGTCTGCTGCGTATGGTGGGGTGTCACCCAGAGCCTTGTTTCATGTGTGTAAGAGCCCCCATCCATTAAACCATTGCTGTGTGTGTTGCTGCCTCTGGGCTCCTTCTTCGGTCTTGAGGCTGGGAGAGCGCAGGGCTCGCTGGGCAAGTTCAGGGCTTGCAGGCCTGTGGGGTGCAGCCCAACACCTTAAAAGACTGTAAAGCTTTATGAGAAAACAAAGTATTACTTTTACATTGTAGTAAAGAAGAGCTGTTCAACATCATAAATATTTACAAGAATCTGTCACAATTTGCTTCTCAAATAGAATTATGAGCATTTCCAGATGTACGTGACGATGTACAAGGGGAAAGAGATAGAATAGGGTGAAGTGACCAGAACCTGTGACATCTTAGTGGAACCTCAGTTTTACTCTACCATGCATAATATGAAACATTCAAAACAACAGTAACAGTATCAGTATGTCTCAGGTACAAACATCATCTTCATCTGGAAGATGGAGAAACAGAGGCACAAAGAGGTGGAAAATTTTGCCAATATCACACAATTAGTAGTGGGGAAGCTATGATTTTGACTCAGGTCTGATTTAGAGTCTGTGCTTCTGCTGCCGTGGAATCTCTGTTACCAAAGGAAAAGGAACCCCTGAAGCAGTGTTTCCCAAACATCTAAGCCATTCAAGTGCTCCCTTCACAGTTCTTAGTCGTGAAATAATATCTACGAAATAACAGTTTGGTCGGCTGGTCATGTTTTCTTCTAAGACACACCTGAAAGTAAATTAATATTTAAGAGAATAGAAAAGAAATGTATGTATCTGCATTCCATTCCAGACGATCTCATCTGTCACCATCTTGGGCACCCTGGACTATGGAGCAGACTGCAGCACACTTGAAACACATTGATAATTAAGATGTCAGAATTTGAACTTACGGCAAGGACATGGTGTAGAGTTAAACCTCTTGATGTTCTGGACACACCCTTCTGCTGTCAGAGACATGCCGGCGAGAACTGTGAATTAAGTTGCTTACAGAATGGGGTTTAGAGATCATAAAACAAAATCTAGTTTACATATCTTTAAACAGCAAGTACTAGTCATGGAGTTTTGCAGAAGTTTTTATTACTTCTTGACCCTAGGGCTGCACCCTGAGTGAGATACAATTCGTGTTCTCAAGTACCTCATAGGCTACTGAGCAAGACAAACCTACAGATATTCTGAAGCAAGGTGATGTGGAGGTTGAGAGAAGTTTGTAGAAGGTGATAGGTTTATGGTGTAAGGAGAATTCATGTTCTGCCTGGGAGAAGTGGAGAAAGCTTATTTATGACTTTTAAAGACCTAGGAGAGAGAAGACTTTGAAGCTTGCAGAAGAGAAAAAAAGGGAGAATCCTGATGGCGCCAGACTCTCTTCAACCTTGGAAAGTGGTCCTTAGTCAACTACAAGAGGAGAGAAACTTAGGGTCCAGGATCTACACCAGTATGTGCAAAGCATGTAGCCATGCCTAGTTCTTTACGTTGGCAGGGGTTAAGCTCCCTTGACCACATCCTAATACTTTTACACTGGAGTTGGGACCAGAATTGTGTTTGCTTTAGGATTCTGCTGTGTCTGGGCACACCTTGTGAAGACGTGGCATGCGGGCTCCGAAATGACGCTTAGGATGCAGCATATTCGGAACACAAATCACTAC